AGGTAGAACTGGCTCAGACTACGCATGGGATGTAACTTTGCCCACCATGTAAAAAAGCTGAAACCAAAGAAAGCTGCATCTGTTTTCAGTGACAGCCTCTCTGCCTGCTCAGCTGTGTCAGCTCTACCAGTAATGAGCATAAGCACTAATATCACTGGGTTTTGTTCCTTCGCAGCAAATCTCCTGTACAGATTTATAAATGTGACTCTGATGGCCGTACTAGCCATTACGACTCTCACATCAAGAAGCCAATACACACTTAAGGCTTGGGTTGATTATCTATCTTGGAAAGAATCTTTCTCAATATTCATCAAATTGGCCTGCTCCCAGCAGAAAAGTACTCATGCCTACCAGAGACAACACACACCCAGCCTTGATTCTGCCCTATAGGGGATCTAATAATGCAAGATGCACAGGAGCGGGAAGAACTGCATGTTCCAAATGCCTTCAAAGATAACAGCAAAAAGTGACTACATACAGAAAAGTACAGTGAAGTGGTTTTGCTTGTATAAATCCCATTGGAACTGCATATAAGATTTGTCTGTGAGATTCTTCTATCAGTGATAGTCACCAGGGCTGAGGGGGGTCTATGGGCAGAGCAGGCCCAGCTGCTTGGTCCCACCTTCCTCTTGTGTTGGTAAGAAAATTAGGGCGTGCCTACAGCTTGCAATTTTCAAAGCTGATTCACAATTCGTGATGATTTATCTACCACTAAGAGTTAACATGGCTTTTTTTTCCCCCCCTCTCTCTTCACTTACTGGCAACAAAACTTAAAAATTCCAAATGACCCTCCAGGATTTATGCAAAGTCTCCATGGCCCAGGCTGCCTTTCACCATGATATTTTCCTGGTATGGCAAGGACTCCTAAAATGCCTTTTTTCCTGCACTTTGGAGAAGTAACCATTCCAGAAGTTTCCCATTTTTAGGATGTTTGCCAAGAAAATACATGATGCTTGACACGTACAAGTGATGCTGTTTTTATTAGGATGGTCAATGAAACATCAGCAACATACAAACAGGAGAGAAGATGGCATGTCTGAAGAATGTGCCTATCTCAGAAATTTAAAAGGAAGCCAATTAGAGGCCGACATCATACACTCACTCAACATTACTCCCAAATGAAGTTGCTAATCCCAAGGCATGATTTGTTAAAGCAGCACTGCAGACTTTACTTAACAACTTGAATCCCACCACCTTAGGGAGACAATTACTACTCTAGCAGCAGCCAGTCTCGCTGACCTTAGGAGCTGCAGAAGATACTTGCACCTTTCTGTGGGGAGCTGAGGGGAAGAAAGGTGTCCCCAAACACCTCTGTAGAGGGAAAATGGCTATGAACCAAGCCTCTCCGATAGTCCAAATGTTTTACTGTGGAACAGGGCCTAGCACACAGCTGGATTCCAGGGCAACTCAGCAACACGGCCTCTGTGGCACCTGCTGGTTTGCTTCCTCTGACAGCTGGGATTCAGATGAACCAGTACAACCTGGACCAGAACAGCTTTGCTGCCAGTCACCAGCCACAGCACCACTGCTGGAGCTCTAACACTGGACTGCTGGGAAGGCAGAAGCAGCTCAAGAGCACATGAGCTCGGCCACTCTTACCATCATCAGCAGGATCCACACTGAGAAACACTCATAGTAAAAGATGTTGCCTCCAAAAGAAATCCCATCACCATACTTTGGTCTGCATCGATTCCAAAGATTCCTTGCCAGCTCTCACAGGGTCCTTGAGGTTGAAGATTCCTTAAAATGGCCTCAGTGAACTGAGCTGAAAGGAAGCCTCCCTGGCTTCACCCCAAAGCCTGTGAAGGGATGGCAGCCCCGACAGGAAAGCCAAAATAAGCTGCTCACAGGCATAAGAATGCATACCAATCTGTAATGGAAATATGATTCTATCCCTCTCTCTTCCTAGAAACTAAATGCTAATCTTTCATTAGTCTTAAAAAAAAAAGTCCAAACCAGCTCTTGCCTAACAAGACAGAAATCTTGCCTGGAAGAGGAAGATGAATCAAACCAGGACACTGCCAATTTTATCTTGAGAGAAGGAAGGAGCACAGTGGCTTCATACCTCTTAGAGCAGTGGCTGTGGGAGCACATCAGCTGGATCAGGGAAAAAAAATACCAGTCAGATAGGAAGCAGAGCAATCTCCTGAACAGATTATGCTAAGAAATGGCTCCGGAGTTACTGCTCCAAGGCTGTGAGAGCAGAACAGCAGAGACTCAATTGCTGGGGAAAAAAAAAAACAAACCAACAACCCCAAAACAAAACCCAAACCACCAAACAACCAGGAACAGAGATCTTCGTCATTAATTGGTTGGAAACACTCCACAATTATATGATTTATAGGCAGTAAATTTGGAGTGCCTTAGCATGGATCAAAGAAACATTAGTGTTAATCAATGCCTGTACGTAGGGGAAAAGGTCACAGCTAGGGCTAGCCAATTTTTTTTGTTGTTTCTTTCCCCTCCCCTAAGCACCGAGTGGAAGGCCAGACCACGTCTCTGGGAATCCACCATCAAAATGGTACCAAGCACTGTTTTTCCATACCCTAAGCCCAGCGGCTATGACCGC